ATTGTTTTAAAAATCAGGTTATGTATAAATAAAAAGTTTTCTATTTTGGGACTGGCCCATATAAATCTTAAGTATTCACAAAAGTATCTACATCATATCTAATCTGCACAAAATTTACCTTAAGGTTCTTATCAAACTATTTTAAGGATATGATCCAAAAATATTACTTGGGTCAAAAGAGTAATTTTCCTGAAAACTTGTTCATCTTCACTTTAAAATTCCCCCTTACTTTTTTCTTAACCATATATTTGGTCTGTGAGAAATTTCTATTTCTTCATGAGGTTTCATTCTGTTTTGCATCAGCATGGTCATCAGTTTCAGGCAGAGTTATTCAGCTCAACCAGTGTTCAGGAAGCTGGGTTTGTGAGTGGGTGAGTGGGAGGGAGGGTTAAAGCAGATTTCTTAGAATCATCTCTCTACCACTGGGACTTTCCTAGAGTCCATCTAAGAAGTAGAGTCTAGCTACTTCTTAGTTTTATAATTAAGTTATTTATGTATTATTTAAGTAATTGTTGAAAAGATGATGTAACTTTCAAATAAGTATGACAGAAAAAGATCCTAGAAACTTATCAACATCGCAACAGAAAGATGGCTGAAAATAAGGGGAGGGATAAAACCCCACAAGAAACATCACCAATATTCCAATTCCACCATTTAACAATGAAAAAGTTCTACTGCTCTATAATCTGCTCTATTTTTTCTGATTTTTTACATCATCTTTTAGCATTTGTGTTGTAGCAATTGGTGCTGCTAAGATGTAATAAATAAAATCAAATTCTTACTGTGTAGATAAATCATTTCTAACTTGGGGTTTCTAGTCTAGAAGACAGAAAAAAAAGTGAAATTATATCTGCAATCACAAATCAAAACGAGAAGAATTTGGTCTCAGAATCTTTATCCAGGCCTTGGCTTCCTGAGTCCTTCTGTCCGTTTTATTTTTTGAGTCAAAGAAAATATTTATGGTATAACTGTTAATACACTACCTAAGTACTATATTCAAATGAAAAGCGCTTTGTCGATTATGAATGGACAACGTGACTAGGTTGATATGAAACAGCAAAATGAAGCACACAGACACACAAAAAATACTATGACTCATTAAGCAAGGAAGATGGTTAAGGGTAAATTTGCCCTGGGGTGTGACCTAATAGGATGTGACAGTCATTTGTGAAATAATGCACAAACTATTCATACTTGACAATATTAAGATAGAACATATGGAAGAAGTCTGATTTTATACCCACTGATTTTACCACCTAAAACAAGTAAAATGAGGCAGCCAAAGGAAGAATTTGAGAATTTTTAAAAATTTTTTTTTACTTGAAAACAAACTACTGGTTTAAAATGGGAAAAACATCAGTAGTTTTATTAAATTTGCTCTAATATAAAATCACTTCAAATTAATCATATTTTAAACCACAAACTGCATCGTCTGAAATTTTTATCATAATAAAAAAATACAACTTTGTTATACTGTGTTGACAGAATAACTGTATTTATTGAAATCCAATTGAATTCAAGATACAAAAATGTACCAGGTTAATTTAATATAGTGAAATCAGGCCACCCAGTGGTAAATATGATGCATTGCATACATGAATATTTCTTCCCCAAATCTTGACTGCAAACTAGCATCATTATGGTGAAACAAATTTGGCTTTTATGGACCATTATTTATAGCAATACTGAAGTAAATACTGAAGAGAATTCTACCTAGTTATCCATAAACAAAAACAATGTGAGAACATTTCTATTTTATTCCATTAGTGTGTAGATACTTTTTAATGAGAAAAGAGTATTACAAAAGAGTTCAAAATACGATGCATATTAAATTAAAAGTGACATTACAAACCATAAGATTCAAATCCATTATAACAGATAAAAAACTGGCATACAGTGTTTACTTGCTTTCCCAAAACAGCATTGCTAGTTAATGACAAAGCTGACTTTAAAAAATCAGTCCTCATATTTCAGTATTTTTTCACTCATAACACCCATTTTGCTGGAGACAACATAATAAAATTGTTTTCTACACACACATACCCCACTGAAAAACATCTTCCAATTCAAGAGCTGGCTTTTATCTTTTTAATTTAGGGTAGTCACAGGTCAAGTGTAAATACCTAAATCTGTTTCTACATAAATAGGCTTTCTGGCTTCTAAATGACATTTTTAAAATTTTATTTTTAAGGGCAGAACTGCCTTAAAAAACTAAAATTAATTAATACATAAACATGCTTAAAAGTCAAATATGTGGGGGGCTGGAATGGGTAAAAGGCAGAAAACTGTACTTGAACAATAATTTTAAAAAATCAAATGTGTTAATAATATATGCCAATTTTAGTGTTGCCTGCAATTTATGTCATTAAAACCCCTAGTGGGATCTAAAACTATTTAAAGTCACAACACTAAGTCAGCCTTTTCCTTTATGTATATACAGATATAGGTATCTTAAAGATCAAAAAAGCCAACATGCTTCAGCTGCTTCACACCTGAGGTAGCAGTGTTTTACTTTTTTTTTTCCAGATCATACAGAAAAAGTATGTTACAGGATTTATGCCTATAGTCTTATGCAAAACTTATATACTGCAAAGTATAATTTTCACTCAAATACTTAAGTGGTTGTCTAGAAGAGATCTTAAAGTGACTGAATTATTTCCTTTCTCTTTCAATTATAAACTAAGTTCATATTTAATATTAAGATATTTAGCCAAAAGACCTGAGACTAGACTTTGCCAAATGATTAGATTGTCTCCCTGTCTAAGAATTTCACATCCTATTAGCTAAGATAAATAAGATACATTTCCATATACAAGAACTATAATTTAGAACACAAAACATTCAAGTATGAAGACCCTAAGAAAATATACCATTCAGAGATAATTTCTCACCTCATCCTCCACCTGAATACTCCCATAGGGAGTATAACTTCAGTCTACTATGTTTAATTACCTCAGACTTAAGACTCTTTAAGTCATTCTATAACATATATTTAAATTAATTTATACAGCAAACCAGGACTAAAAGTCAACAGTACAACTAATGTTTAGATCTCAAAGCTCACAATATTGTCAATAAAAGAAAGCTTATATGGGCAAATTAATCATGAAATCATTTCTTCTTTCTTAGTGTATTATTATAAAGCAAACGGAAAACCAACTGGAGAAGGCAGGGTTCTGATATTCAAGCATCCATGTCTAAACACAATGAAATGCTGATGACAGCATTTGCCAAGAAGTTATTGTGAATAAGATTAACATCAGTACTGATACATAGATAATGCCACATATAGTCAGTTGTCACTTTGCTGAATGAAGTTACTTTTAAAATTTTTGTATATTCAAAAGAAAAGGCCTAAACCAGTACCTCAATAATTAGAATTACAGGAGTTTTCAATATTGGTCTTTTCTGAAATTTAAGAGGTTAATTGGGTCCTTGACATTCTAGAGTAGTGATTCTTACCTGGGTGACTTTGTCCCCCAACAGACATTTGGTAATGTCTGGAGATCTTTGATTTTCAGGACTGGGGTAAGTCCTTACTGGTATCAACTCTTTGTAGGCCAGGAATGTTGCTAAATATGGGACAAAGCACAGGTCAGCCTCCTCCCAAAATATCAACATCAAGAGGGCCAAGGTTGAGCCCTGGCTGGTGTAGATGGCGAACCAAAGGGTTGTCGGTTCAATTTCCCGCCAGGTCCCCAGTAGGTGGCGTGCGAGACACAACCACACATTGATGCTTCTCTCCCTCTCTTTCTCCTTCCCTTCCCTTCTCTCTAAAAATAAATAAATAAAATCTTTTTTTTTTAAAGAGTGCCAAAGTTGAAAACCCTGTTCTAGATATGTGGGTTTATATGTATGTGCATGTAAATTTTTTCCACCACAAGAGTTTGACCTATACTGTAGTTGCTACAAACTAATAGGCTAACAAAGACTTAATTATATTTTATGCTGCTCTCTGCAAAAACATCTTACATATACAGATGCCTAATAAGTGAATAAAGCAACAAATATTATGTGTATTATTACCAATTTTTAATAGAAATCTAAAATGAACGAATGCTGATATTAAGTTTCAGCTTAAGAAATAAGTTAAGATTTTGAGGTTATGGATCTAGAAATAAAACCATTTGGAAATTTTGGAAAATTAATATTGCAATTAAAAGACAGTACGGTTTTTGTTTTGTCTTCTAAGTGATTACTACACACAATTTAGGAGTAACTACTAGAGTGACATAGATATAAAAATCAGAGGCATAAATTTATCCTAGCAAATTTTCCAACAACAAAAAATGTGTCTTACCTCTGTGCAAAGTTAGGTACCGTCAGAGCCAAACATGAACACTCAAAATATTAAGTGAATCAAATACATTGTTTTATTTTAAGATAAAGCTACTAGTAGTAACAGTGTGACAGCTTCTCAATAGAAGATATTATACACGCACACACACACACACACAGCTGAGAACATAAGTACGGTAATTACAGAAAACATCAAAAACGTCCTCCTTCAACTATTTCTCAGCAAATTTTCAAACCATGAAGGGAGTAAGGATGGCAGAGGGGTCCCCGCTCTGGTTTAGCACGGAGTTCCTATTTTAACTGGTAGTGATTCAGAGAAAGGGTCCTCCTGAACACCATTTTCAGGTCATCCTGGCAGGACAGTATCACTTTTCTCTGCGTAGCGTATTCCCCAAAGAGCACACACTTACCTGGCGAGAAACTCCCCACCAAGAAGTGGCTGTGAAAGGTTATGGAGAGAATCAACTCGAAGGAGCAACCTGGGCATCTATTATTCCTTTCCGCGTCTTAAAGACAGTGGTCCCCAACTGTGCACACGTCACAGCTGCGCTCCGGCCAGCGGGGCCGAGGAGGCTACGGAGCAGCGGGAAGGGAAACCTCTGCCCCGGCCAGAGACGGCCTGGTGGGGAAGCAGCAGGAAAGGAAAGAGAATCTGGGCCGAGGCTGTGCCGACAGGCCTGAGCGAAAGGGATGTCACCCACCTGCGCGACCTCTTCGCCATCCTTCAAGTACCGCATAGGCGCGGGCTGGGTGGGGACGCAGTCCAGCCTCCTCCAGTCTCAGGAGAATGCTCCTTTGCCCCCCGGCCCTCCCGCCGATTCCCTGGTTCCCTCTCCGAGGGCACGAAGTGAGGAACGCTGGACGGGGCGAGACGAAGGGAAGGAGGGACGGACAGAGACCCGCCCCCGGCCCACAGCACAGTTCTCAGCCCCGGCCAGGCCAGTTCAGGGATGCCCCCAACATGTCAGCAGGCGCGCTCCCGCCCTCCGTCGGCCCCTCCCGCCGGCTCTCAGCCTCCTCGCCACGGGCGCCGACCCCCGCCCTCCCTCCGCAGCAAGCGGCTCTGCAAGGCTCGCAGCCTCCTGCAGGGTTTTGTGCCCACCGCCGAATCTCGCGCCTAGCCTCCCTCAAGAGCCGCCGTTTGAATCTGCGCACGCGGCCCCGAACCTCATTGGTTGTGGCGGCCGCACGCGAGGACAGGGGCGGGGCGGGGAGAGCGCGCGCGGCTGAGGGCGGGGCTGGGGTGCTGGAAGCTGGGACTGGAACTCGCGGGAGTCGGGAAGGAGCTGGGAGTCAGGGTGTAGGTCCGCGGGTGGGGCTCGCGGGTTTAGTTGTGACAGGCCGCGGAGCGCGCCCTGTGCGGCACCGCGAGGAGGCGGGGCGCAGAGTGTTGCGCAGGGCCTGCTGGGAAAAGGAATGCCAGCACTAGAGGAGAGACGAGTCTGGAATCGGTGACTAGAGCTAACACTTCTAGGGGTCCGTGGACTGTGTCCCCGGGGGATTAGGTGGGCTCTCTGGGCCACGTCCCTGCAGCCTTCTTTTGGCCACAGCTCCTCACTCCTCGGATATAGCAAGCCGCACTAGGAGGAGGCACGGTCTTTGGACGTGAGACAAATCTTACCATCAAATTTGGGCGGCCGTTGCTGCTTAAGCAAAACTGTGGGCTATTTTTGTCCAGATGGCATAACTACTGGGGTAGCGAACACCCTGTGGCAGAAAACAGTATCATGAATGAGCAGGAGTGTGACATGTGAAAAAAAAATGTTTTTAGCTGGAGATGTGCTTGGAACCGAAAAGGGAAATAATCCAGGTCGGCGGCAGGTCTTCGAAGTGGGGGAAATAACTGATGTGCCCTGGGGAAGGAGCCCTGATCCAGGAGAACGATACTGGAAGACAGGAGTGGACTGGAAATTTCGCACAGATAAATGAATACAGCGGTCAACAGTAGGAGAGACGGCAGGAGAGGGTACTGCATCCGAGGAGCTTTTAGCAGTTGCAACTACTTTACAGGTTTCAAGTCTAGTAACTATGAACTGCTCAATTCAAGTAGCGTTAAAGTACATTAACTACAGTAACCATCAGGGATGGTAAAGGATCCAGATATGCAAGGTAACATGCTCTACTGCATAGAGCATTAAACCACACGTTAATATTGTAACAGACGTACATTTTGCTATTTTGAAATTTTACGCATCACTTTTTGCAAATCAGAGATGCAGGTGCAAATGTGAATTAAGAAGAGCTGGCATGCACTACTTTCAAAATTTAAAACATCTGCTTTTTTATATAGTTCCTTTTTCTCGAGGCTTCTGGGAAGGAAGGCATACAGCTTTTATTTTAAATCATTCCATACTGAGTTGCTGGTTCACTTTTTGTTTAACTTAATTTAGAAAGTAATGTCACTTGAAGACAGTGTTTTCTTATTTACTCCTGAGTCATACATTTCTCTGATTATTTAATATCCTAACAGGAAACAGAATTTATGCTGTATTTTAGGCTAAGTCAGTTTCATATAGAGTACCTTTTTCAAGCCTGAAGGCAGGTATTTTAGATTTTGACAGTAAACTAAATTCTTCTCATTTTAGAGGTAGCGAAAAAGTTTTTCAGAGAAACTGCAAATTCATATAAGTCAGTTATAAAGACAAAGTGTGGAGTTTTAACTAAAGTCGTTCACAGTTGTTTGAATACACATATTCAAATATATCATAACCTGGGAGTTGTTTTTTTAGCAATATATTTAATAAAGTTATATTCAGAGTATATAAAGAACTCTCAAGACTCACTAATGAGAAAAAAGAACAATGGAGGGAAAAAATTTAGAACAGACACTTTACCAAAGAAGATACACAAATGGCAAATAAACCATGTGAAAAGATGCTCCACATCATCAATCATTAGCGAAATGCAAATAAAAACCACACTGAGATACTGCTACATAGCTCTTAGAATGAGGGGAAAAAGCACTGACTATACAAGTTTGGTGAAGATGAAGATGCTAAGCAAATAGTTTCCTACAATGCAAATGTTTATAATGGCTTTTTATTTGTAATCACCAAAAACTGAAAACACTTAAAGGGATAGTTATACTCCTTAACCCCAGAGAGTTGTTTTGAATAGTCCATTAATGCTTCTCAAGTTTTTAATTATAAACTGATTTTAAAGTTATGTATACTATTTTACCTTCTTACTCCAAATCTTTAAATACATAGTAAATAAATGAGCAAGAAGGTGCACCTTGCTCATTCTTCATGTGGCTGCACCTACTTCTCATCCTCCTGCAAAGGCCAAATACTCCCAGGGTTTGGTTATGTTAGTTTGAAAAGCTTAAGCTAGTTTAATATGGTACCTAAAAGACTATACTTTCAATAGACCTGTAACAACCAATCCCATAAGTAGATTTTTGTCTCTTCTATTAATTGCTAGACTCCAGTCTCTAGAATAGTGATAAACCCAGATGCTCAATAAATACAATAACTGTAGAATGAATGGGGAAAAAAACAAATAATAAACAAGTACATAAATATTTATGCTTACGAAGACACAGAAAGTACAGATTAAAATGGATTTTTAATCTGTCACTACGCAACAGGTGTGTCAAGACAAAAATACCATTTTATGACTACTAAGGTAGCAAAATTTTTGTAAATCCTGCCAACAAGGTTTAAATAATAGTATTGAAACTGGTATAATCCTTTGGAGAGCAGTACTGAGCAAAAGCCATAAATATGGATATATCCTTTGACAGACATTTTATCTTAAAAAGGAATTCAATACAAGCAAGAAAGATGTGTTTGAATGCTTATACTAGTGTATTCCATTAGAACCCCAGTTTGGAGGCATTTACATTGTGAAACTAGTTTAAATGGTTCATCGGCAGGAAAGAACAATTATGCCAACAGTAAAAGCAGTGTAATTTAATATTAAGGTAATGCCATCAAATGGCTGTTACATTTATAGGCTCTCCTAGGTGCTTCATATGCATTCGTCTTAAGTAATATTCACAACTGAGATGGAAGCATAGGTAGACATGCTTTGCCTCTTTGCACAACCAAAAGGACAACAACAATTTAAAAACAAAAAACAACCAGAACTGATAGAAAACCGAACTGTATGGAAGTTCAACAACCAAGGAGTTAAAGAAGACACATCCATCCAGACTGGTAGGAGGGGCATAGACAGGCAGCCGGGCAGAGAGGACTCTGGCTAGGAGGCTAGGTGGTTGCTCAAGGATGGGGTGGGCAAGGTGGTGGCTGTGGACCCAGTGAGCCAGTGGATTGTGGAGCAAGGGCATGCAATGTTGCAGCTGGCGAGCAAGGCAGCAGTGGGCAGACCCAACAAGGTGGTGGATTGAGGACTGGGAGGTCCCACAGATAAACCAGGAGAAACAACTGGGGAGCAGGATGGACTGCGCAACCCGGGGCCCCAGTGAGGGGAAATAAAGCCTCAAACCACTGATTAAAAACACCTGTGGGGGTTGAGGCAGCAGGAGAAACTCCCAGCCTCACAGGAGAGTTCACTGGAGAGACCCACAGGGTTCTAGAATGTACACAAGCCCACCCACCCAGAATCAGTACCAGAAGGGCCCAATCTGCTTGTGGGAAGTGGGGAAAGTGACTGAAATCCAGCAGAGAGAGGAGCAAGCGCCATGGTTCCCTCTCGGACCCCTCCCCACATACAACGCCACAACACAGTAATATAGGCTACCCCACCCTGATGAACACCTAAGGCTCCACCCCTCACTACACATCAGGCTCATCAAGACAAAAAAAAAAAAAATGGCCCAAATGAAAGAACAGGTCAAAGGTCCAGAAAAAATACAACTAAGCAACAAAGATAGCCAACCTATCAGATGCACAGTTGCAAACACTGGTAATCAGGATGCTCACAGAATTGGTTGAATTTGGTTGCGATCTGGATGAAAAAATGAAGGCTACTCTAAATGAAACAAAGGAAAATGCACAGGGAACCAATAGTGACAGGAAGAAAACTGGGATTCAATCAATGGCGTGGACCAGAAAACATCAAACCAGAAAAAACATCCAACCAGAAAAGAATAAAGAAACAAGAATTCAAAAAAATGAGAAGCTTAGGAACCTCTAGGACATCTTTAAACATTCCAACATCCGAATTATAGGGGTACCAGAAGGGGAAGAGGAAGAGCAACAAGTGGAAAAGTTATTTGAATAAATAATAAAGGAGAACTTCCCCAATCTGGCAAAGGAAATAGACTTCCAGGAAGTCCAGGAAGCTCAGAGAGTCCCAAAGAAGTTGGACCCAAGGACACACCAAGGCACATCATAATTACAGTACCCAAGATTAAAATGAAGGAGAGAATCCTAGCAGCAGCAAGAGAAAAGGAGACAGTAACCTACAAAGGAGTTCCCATCAGACTGTCAGCTGATTTCTCAAAAGAGACCTTACAGGCAAGAAGGGATTGGAAAGAAGCATTTCAAGTCATGAAAGGCAAGGACCTATATCCAAGATTGCTCTATCTAGCAAAGCTTTCATTTAGAATGGAAGGACAGATAAAGTGCTTCTGAGATAGGGTCAAGTTAAAGGAGTTCATCATCACCAAGCCCTTATTTTTTTTTTAAGATTTTATTTATTTATTTTTTAGAGAGGGAAGGGAGGGTGAAAGAGAGAGAGAGAAACATCAGTGTGTTGTTGCTGGGGGTCATGGCCTGCAACCCAGGCATTTACCCTGACTGGGAATCGGACCTGCGACACTTTGGTTCACAGCCTGCGCTCAATCCACTGAGCTACACCAGTCAGGACCAAACCCTTATTATATGAAATTTTGAAGGGATTTATCTAAGAAAAAGAAGATAAAAAATATGAACAGTAAAATAACAGCAAACTCACAGTTATTAACAACCACACCTAAAACAAAAACAAACTAAGCAAACAACTAGAACAGGAACAGAAACACAGAAATGGAGATCACATGGAGGGTTAGCAATAGGGGAGTGGGAGGGGGAGAGAGAGGGAAAAGGTACAAAGAATAAGTAGCATAGATGGTAGGTAGAAAATAGAAAGTGGAAGGGTA